AGCTACTGTGCCTGGCCCTGCATGTGTAATGTGTGACAATATTTTCAATGTACAATGGGCTTACTGAGAGTATCATAAATGCCTATCACTTTCATACCATTTTAAACTTGAAAAATCATTAAGGTGAGCCATACTAAGTAGGAGACTCTTTGCAGCTGCTTTGGTCAACTAAGAAAAATGAAGAGCCTAGCACAGGGCCAGGCACCCAGAGTGGGCATTCGATTCTTTTTAAAATGGCCACGTGAAGGAACGATCTCTGCTTTCAAGAGCCTCCCCTTAAAGCCTCACTAAGTGGATGGGGGCCATCACCTCCGATATTTTAATATAGATTATTTTTTTATAAATTCCCAACCTGTTCCTGCATGGGGTCACCTGCCTATTAAACAAGCCATTTCTCCAATCCCTTGCACAGCTCAAAACCAGTTTTAAATCCCATCCTGGAATATTTCTTTGTGTGCAAGGTTCCCAAAGTCCTCCTGCTGCCTCAGTGCAATAGGCTAATTTATCCCCTCGCTTATCAGTCGAGCACAAACGCCCTTGATCATGAGGCACTCTGAAGGCTGGAGAGAACGCTTCCAGAGTAGTCTTGAAAACAGTCCCCTCCCCAGTCCCAGATTCAGAGGGTTCTCTTTTCAGTTTCACTTCACTGAGGGCTGTCAGCTTTTATTTAGGTGGTAGGAGGGAGAGGCCATGAGGGAAATTTCCCTTGAGCCAGTTTTCTAGAAATAGCCTTTACTTTTTAAACTGGTTTTAACTAGGGGGAAAAATGCCTTAATAAAAATTGGCAAGTAGGTTCTAAAACATCGAATACAAAAAATATTTGACTTACATGATGAATTGGAAACCTCTAAGAATTTCAGTCCAGGCCAGATATTAGCAGAAAAGCTGGTTTTCTAACCAAATTAGTGTTATAAAAAGACTAGCCAGATAAAAAACCATTTTTCTTTTGGCTTCTCAAATGAGTTTATTTTATCAAGAACAGCTTAAATGTAACATATATAGTGTTGTAGTCTAGAGGAAGACACAGAACTCATCTATTACACTTTTTTGCACTTAAATCACTTAGGTAGTGCCGTTAGGGCATTTCATATGCTAATTATAAATGATTCTAGTACACTATGATTCAACTCAATTAGGCATAAATTTTTAAACTTTAAAAACTGTGTTCTCAAGGTAATTAAATCCCACTTAAAGTCATGTACAATAATTCTTAACTTTCACTAATGACCTTTTATTCTCCTGATTTTTCATAATCAGTGGGTTTTTTAAAACAATTATGGTTTGGGTTACAACGGGTCTTTTATATTTACCACATAAATGACAAAAACTAAAACCTATTTAAAAGTATTTGTTTTGGCCAGCAGGGTGGCTCACACCTGTAATCCCAGCACTTTGGGAGGCCCACGCGGGCAGATCACCTGAGGTCAGGAGTTTGAGACCAGCCTGATCAACATGGAGAAACCCCATCTCTACTAAAAATACAAAATTAACCGGGCGTGGTGGCACATGTTTGTCATCCCAGCTACTCGGGCGTGGTGGCACATGCTTGTGATCCCAGCTACTCGGGAGGCTGAGGCAGGAGATCTGCTTGAACCCAGGAGGCAGAGGTTGCAGTGAGTCGAGATTGCACCACTGCACTAAAGCCTGGGCAACAAAATCGAAACTGTCTCAAAAAAAAGGAATTGTCTTTTAGCAGCTGTGTTTATTCTTTCTTGCAATAAGTAATCAAGCACCTACTGTGTGCCAGGCTATGGCCGGGGCACCTATGCTTCCCCTAAGCTTCAATTCTGTGGGCTTTCCCAGTGTTGGCAAATGGATGTAGCAACTGTTGAGCCCAGAGCAGGGAAGGGCACGAGGTACCCATGCACCAGTCGGATAGCATTCCGACAGAAGGAGCCAATGGCAAGCCTAGAAATAAGAATAAACTCGAATTTAGAAGACATTCCTTTTGCAGAAAACAGGAAAAGTATTTGCTTTCCTGAACATTTTATTTCATAAGCACAACAATTAAAAAAACCCAGAGTTTCATGAGTTCAATGTAGAAACAGTTCTTATGTAAATAACAAATAGAATCAATAACTTACTAAAAAAACTAGTATTTGACTTTTGCGAGTGAAGGCAGATGCAACATGGGTTTACTGAGCTGTAATTCTTCATGGGGGAAAAGTCTTGCTTTGGTTCTTAAATTCAGGTTAATGAGTGGCTTAGATTTAAGTAACACGAGCAGTGTTCAAAAGTTTGATTTCTCATAAAATATAACTGCTGGTAAAGACAGTTTATTTGTGCCACCTGTAGCTGATAGATGAAGCTTCCTCAGAGAAATGATTTTACATAGAAGGTGTACTTTTGCTTTAACTGATCAAGAGATCAGTAAAATCAGATTCAAGACTCAATGACAAAGTCAATCAGGCAGCATTTATTCAGTGCCCAAAATATGAGGCAGCTGACTGTATCCAAAAGAAAGAAAACAATGGGACATGAGAATCATAGCGGAGTAGCTCTCCAATGTAGAATCTTACTTTGGTTTGGAAAAGATAGTCATTAGAATTAGTATCCCTTCTTTCCTGTAAAACTGACAAAGTAATTTATAATGCTTTAAAAAAAAAAAAAAAAAAAGAGACAGGGTCTCACTACATTGCCCTAGCTGGTCCCGAACCCCTGGGCTCAAGTGACCCTCCTGCCTTAAGCTTCTGAGTAGCTGGGACTGTAGGTACACACCACTATATCCAGCTATCATGTTTATTTTAAATCTAACTACATTCACATAGAACACGAGTTCCCTAAGGCCAATCTCATACCTAGTATATAATAGTTTACATAAAAAAGCAAAAGCTGCTTCATTAACCTACTCTAATTCATATCTAATGAAATAATAGACTTCCCACTTAACTCATTTACTTGGCTCTGCTGCCCATATAGGTAAATTGAGTTTTGAACCAACAACTGGGAAAGCACCTTATGTTACTGAAAAAATGTCTTCACCAAGTTGGCCCCTTCTAAAACACAGAGGGGTGAGCGGGTGTGTGTGTGTGCATCAGGCCCTTTAAGAGAACATTCAGCTTGGAAATAAAGTCATAAAAACTGAAGGGTAATTTTTAAATGACTTTTTTAAATTAGAAAAACTGTTTGTACTCCTAAGAATATGAAGCAGTCATCACTGCTGAGCACTTATGTGCCCTGATTTAAGCACTTCACGTGTACTGTTTATTCACAAATATCCTATGAGATAGGCACTATCATTCTACTAAAAATAAATAAATAACAACTGACAGAGACAGAAGTAACTCGCTGAGGGTCAGACAGCTGTGAGCGGTGGGGCTGAGATCTGAGTGCAGACAGCTGGGCCAGGCTCCGTCATCACCACACGGTAAAGACACTGTATGCGCCGACACTGAGGACTTCATACTTACATTTTTACTAAAACCTAGAGGTCTTTTTCAAAAAATCCATGGCTAAGCCAGTTCACTTCCATCTTGTGAGCATAAAATTGTCTTAGAAACCTAAAGGAGGGCCAGGCATGGGGACTCACACCTGTAACCCCAGCACTTTGGGAGGCCAACTTGGGCAGATCATGAGGTCAAGAGATCGAGACCATCCTGGCCAATGTGGTGAAACGCTGCCTCTACTAAAAATACAAAAATTAGCTGAGTGTAGTGGCGTGTACCTGTAGTCCCAGCTACTCAGGAGGCTGAAGCAGGAGAATCACTCCAACCCAGGAGGTGGAGGTGCAGTAAGCCTAGATCACGGCACTCTACTCCAGCCTGGCGACAGAGCAAGACTCTGTCTCAAAACAAACAAAAAACCAACCGCTCCCAATCCCCTAAAAACAGGAAGCCTAAAGGAAGCCTTCTTAAAGGAAGGCTTTATGCTCAACCCTTTAATAATTCATAGAGGTGGCAGAGTGCCAGCAGCAAATCCCCAAATTAAACATGGAAAAGAAGCCCTCCAAAGATAACAGAAAAATAAGGAGAAAAATATACTATTTTTGATAATTCTACTGAAAATAGTTATCAAAAGTAATTTATCATTAAATGCAATAAAGTCAAAGCAAGAGAAGTTTTCTGCATTCAGACATAAGAACCAATGTGTTTGAGAAGCTTTTCTTCTCAGTCCGGGGCGGTGGCTCACACCAGTAATCCCAGCATTTTGGGAGGCTGACACGGGCAAATCACCTGAGGACAGAAGTTTGAGACCAGACTGGCTAACATGGTAAAACCCCATCTCTACTAAAAATACAAAAATTAGCCAGGCATGGTGACAGATGGCTGTAATCCCAGCTACTTAAGAGGCTGAGGCAGGAGAATTGCTTGAACCTAGGAGGTGGAGGTTGCAGAGAGCCGAGATGGCACCACTGCACTCCAGCCTGGGCAACAGAGCAAGACTCCGCCTCAAAAAAAAGAAGCTATTCTTCTCTATTGTTCTCCCAGTTACAACTGAAGTTCACAACTGGAGCAAAACTGAAGGTAACTCATCTGTGTCTTAGAAACTGAGTATTTCCAATGTGAAATTATCACCTGAATTACAGATGACCTAGCAGGAATTCTCTATGTAGCCCTGGGGAAGGAGAGGGCTGTGGGAAAATGCTATAAACTGCAGGGCCTCTCCAGAGGACAGCCCTATGGTCTTCAGCCAGAGGCTACTATCCAGATCAAAGCTCCTGAAAGGCACAACTGTGGACTGTGGGTGGCACAGTAACAGTTTCCAGGAGACTGTTGTTTCTATGGAAGCATCTTTTCTCTTTTAGTACAAGAATTTCACAGAGGGAAGAAAGGGGAAAAAGAATGACATCATTAACACCTAAAAAGTGCAAGGGAATAACTTCCAGAGGTATTTACTAAACAAAGATGTTTGTGAATCTACTTCAAAAAGCCAAAACAAGGTTCTCAGAGTTCTAATGAAAATGTTACCACTTAGATTTGGAAGTAGAGATGCATAACACAGGTTTGCTGTTCACAAGTGGAAATGATTAGCCCGACTGATTGTCAATGAAATCTACTTACATTTAAAGCAGCTTCTCCACATTTTTCAATGGCTGCAAGACCCTGATTATGAATGTGTGTCTCCAACAGTTTTTTCAATTCTCCTAGGCCATCCTGGATTCTAGATACAAGATTATACATGCGTCCCAAATCTGAAAGAGGAAGAAATCCCTTTATGCACTGAAACAAACTCTGCCTATCATTCTACTAATTATGTATTTCTACTGAGATGAAAAATACTCTGCAATAAATAACCATGTTTTTAGACTTTAATAATCAATAGCATTTAATTATAACCAAATACTCCCAATTTGGTATATGTATGTTTAGCTAAAAGTAACAATGAAATTATGCTATTTTGAGTTTATAAGTTTATTTTTCCCTTTACTATGAGAAACCACTAACATATGAATAAGCAAAAAAAAAAAAAATTATCAGAAATGATTCTAATGCTTCCAAAAATTCTCAAGATTTAAATAATATTTATGCCTGAGCCATAATAGGCACTCAAGTATTTGTTTAAAAATAATTAATATATTGGCCAGGAACGGCGGCTCACTCCTATAATCCCAGTACTTTGGGAGGCTGAGACAGGTGGATCACCTGAGGTCAAGAGCTCAAGACCAGCCTGGTCAACATCGTGAAACCGCGTCTCTACTAAAAAATACAAAAAATTAGCTAGGCGTTGTGGCGCATGCCTGTAATCCCAGCTACTCCGAAGGCTGGGGCAGGAGAATCGCTTGAACCTGGGAGGTGAAGGTTGCAATGAGCCACGATTGCTCCATTCCAGCCTGGGCAACAAGAGCAAAACTCCATCAATCAATCAATCAATCAATAAAATGACTATATTTAAGGAGAATATGGATTTCCATCTCAACTATAAAAACAAATGAGTTGAGAAAAGGTCTCCCAAATTCTTCATTTAAGACATGTATGGCATATGGTTACTTTAGGAGGACCACAGAAGAAAAATCCAAACATCAATCTTTTACTGAGCTCCTAACATGCCCCAGTAAAACAAGGCAGTGGCTACGGGAAATCTAAGATGACAGTCTTCTCATCTCAGAGAATTTTCAAAGGAAGAACAGTCAAGAAAAAACTTAAGGGTAGCATCATTTAATGCTAAAGTGTATGTAGAAAGTCACATTCTAGGCCGGGTACAGTGGCTCAAGCCTGTAATCCCAGCACTTTGGGAGGCTGAGGTGGGTGGATCACGAGGTCAAGAGATCGAGACCATCCTGGTCAACATGGTAAAACCCCATCTCTACTAAAAATACAAAAAATTAGCTGGGCATGGTGGTGCGTGCCCGTAATCCCAGCTACTCAGGAGGCTGAGGCAGGAGAATTGCCTGAATCCAGGAGGTGGAGGTTGCGGTGAGCCGAGACCGCGCCATTGCACTCCAGCCTGGGTAACAAAAAAGCAAAAACTCCGTCTCAAAAAAAAAAAAAAAAAAAAAAGAAGAAAATCACATTCTAAATTAAACTGAAAAAATACTCTTCGCCCTAAGTCATACCAAAATGCCCTGTAGAAATCTGACATCAGTACATAACAATGTACAAACACATGCATCTTTTTAAAAATGACTGACACGGGCAAGTAATGCTGTTGACTCGGAGAGTCTAGCATCTCAAGCAATGTCAAAACTGCAGATAATAATAAATACCTACATTTTTTGAGTCTTGTGGCTTACCTTCATTTTTGTCAGCATCCAATAAATTCTGAAATTCTGTGTGGAAAATTTCCAAGTGTTTTTCAATGAGGACTTGCTCACATTTCCTTGCTAACTCATCTTGTGTGCTTTCGTGAAGGTAAACCTGAACTCTTCGTTGTTCCTCAAGCAGACGAGCCTCTGCCTGGAGAAAATGAATTCAAGTGAATGGTTTTGTTTCATTGGTAAAGAATTGCTGCAATTCTTTAATATGTAAATTAAAGGAAGTTGAATAATGGCAAATTAAATTCACAAGCCAGCTCTAAGAAAATTAGATTAAGAAAATAAGGGAGGGCTCCGCAGGATGGCTCACGCCTATTATCCCAACACTTTGGGAGGCGGAGACAGGAGGATTGCTTGAGGCCAGGATTTTGAGACTAGCCTGGGCAACACAGAGACCCTGTCTCTAAAAAAAATTTAGCCAGGTGTGGCATGCACCTGTAGTCCTTCCTAGCTACTCAGGAGACTGAGGCGGGAGGACGGCTTGAGCCTGGGAGTTAAAGGATATGGTGAGCTATGATCTTGCCACTGCATTTCATTCAGCCTGGGCAACAGAGCAAGACTCCATCTCTCAAAAAAGGAAAGGAAAAAGTTCTTTTCTCTTAGGGTAATTGACAACCATATTTAAACAGCCACTGATGTGTGCCATTTTCTCAGTAAGATCTATTTCCATTTCAGAATTCCTTTCTAAGTGCCCTAACATCATCATCATTAAGAGTTCAAATGTCTTTGCACCATTTTTATCCCTCAGAGAGTGGTTATTTTATCTTTTTGAGGTAATGTCTCTGCCACTCTAAGAAATGAATGGATCTTCTGTGCAGATACTAAGATGCACTACTTTAGATTAAAAACTACCTGAAGCCAAGAGTCACACAAATATAAGCCCTGATCACATGAAAATAATCATCAGAAATCAGACTTTTAAAAAATCTAAAGGAAAACATGGCCTTCTCTTTCAAACACTGAATATGCACCTCTGAAACCTACTGAGTTATTTATGTATCCCAATTTCTTGCATTTCCTCCTGAGGAAGAGGGGAGAGCAAAGATGCAATATAACAATGCAGCAAAATTAGGAGAATTCAGAATATTTTACAGACCATCACCAGAAATACACGTGGTATAAAGTGTCACTGAGATACTACTAACTTATCAAAGCAAGGAAGACATTTCAGTAAATTATTCAGGTGATCTAAATAAAGAGAATTATATTTTGAATTATAAAAATCCAAATACTCTCCAAAATGATTTAAAAAAAAAAATACTTTTTTCAGAGACAGGATCTTGCTCTGTCTCCTAGGAAAGAGTGCAAGGGCATAATCAGCTCACTGCAGCCTCAAACTACTGGGCTCAAGTGATCCTCCCGCCTCAGCCTCCTGTGTAGCTGGGACTACAGGTGCACACAGCCATACCTGGCTAACTTTTTAATTTTTTTCTAAAGACAAGTTCTCACTATGTTGCTCAGGCTGGTCTTGAACTCCTGGCTTCAAGCAATTCTGCCTCGGCTTCCCAAAGTGCTGGGATTACAGGCTGTCAGCTACCCTGCCTTGCCCAGATTTTCAAATTTGGTATAATTTTGGAGAAATCTGGAAAAATTCAACTGGTAATGAATCATCAAGAGCCAAGAAAACGCAAAATAAAAAATGATCGGGCAGGATTTGGTACTATCAAGAACTAATAATAATGGGACAATTGTTTAAACCATGTAAGTCAGAACCTTATTACACATTCTAAGTAGCTAAATGTAAAAAAAAAACTTGGAAAATATCTGTAGTATGTATCAAAAGATCAATATTCTTAATACACGTAATTGTCGCCATCAAAGCCGTGGGTACATACAAATAAAAACACAAGGAAGAAAGGACAATTCATAAATGAAGAAACAGAAAAAAGCTTGAAGCTACTACATTTCCAACAAGAGGTAAATTATAGTATGTTCAGTTAATGAAATATCAAACATGAACTATTAATAAAAATCATTAGTGAATAAGTTACAAATATCTATATCATGATCTCAATTTGGTTTATATAATCAGGAACAGTGCCCCAGGTGTGTAAGTTTATGTTATTTGTATTTTCCAAAAAGTCTACAGTTAACGTGTAATTTTGTTTTTCTGATTATAAAGCTATTTTAAAACAATAAATGCTGCTTTATATCTAATGCTTCACTAAGACTGATACCTCAAGAACCTAGAGCTGGTGGAATACAGAACATGCAAACCAAACAGCACCACTTTTTCTGTTTTAAGTTCTAACTCTTTCTTGGAAGAACATAATCACCTCAGGCAGCAAAACATACTTTTACCCCTTCCCAGTTGAAAGATTAGGCTTTGATGCCATTGCTGATTCATCCTCTGAGGGGCACAGCTCTCCACCTTTTAGCATTCTACAGACCCTTCCTGCAGGGGCTGAGGGGGCAGGAAGAGTGAACAGGTACCTAGGTGATTACAGAAACATTCATGGCTGAGGGACCTCAACACTAGCTTATTGTATATATTGGCAAGGAAACCAAGGTTGTAGGCATTGTCATCAGGCTTCAGAATGGACAGCCAGCTAGGTTCTCTATTGATTCCAAGTCAAATAGGCTCCTGATCATCACTGTATTTGGCAGACTGTTGTATTAGAACACCAAGGTCAAATTCCAATGACTACATAAAAGCATGCAATTGAAGACTGTCTTTACTAATTTAACTAGGATTGGTTCTCAATAAAAACAAAAGGAAAATAAAAACCAAAAAAGACAAGCAAATTAATCAACTATGGTGTATTTTTAAAGTTAAAAAAAAATGACATTAGAAACCTAGAGTAGTCGTACAGTTTCTGTAGCTCAGATCAGTCTCAATCACATGAGACAGTAAAATATTTTAGAAACACTAAGGTGGTTCACTCTTCAAAGCCATCCATGGAAACACAAGCCAAACATTCTCAAATGTTTCCACTAAAACTCCTAATAGAGAAAAGTGAACACAGACCCAGGGAATTTGAACTGGCTAAAATTTGCAGAATATTTTCAAGGGTCATGTTTTATCTCAATACTGTTCTACTTCCTAATAGAATGTTTGTTTTGATGTAAACATAAATGCTCCCTAAGTTACTAAGATTTGCCACCCTTTATCCTGTGGTTTTACATCCTCCCAGGCATACACTGGAGGCTCTGTGGGACACATATTTGTAATACCAAATATATCAGCCTTGCTCTTTGCCACACACTACTCTAAGCACCTTTTTACTAATAAATATCTCATGTTAAACTTTTTAAATACTAAAGCCCACTTAATCTTCACTATTACCTATTATTATTCTCATTTTGCAGATAGGGAAATTGAGGAAGAGAAGCCTTAAGGTCATCCCCCTAGTAAGTGGCAGGGTGGGGATTTAAAACTGGACTCATAGCTCAGTCTGAGATGCAAGGCTATAGGATGAGAGCAGAATTACATGGTCAAATGCCAATTTTATGCTTAAAGACTCTGCATTATCAATTTTCAGAATGTGATGGAAGTCATGTTTGGTGAGATCTAAGTGGATTTGGGCCAAACCTTTAACTCCTCTAGAAATGAATCCCCTCTATGGGAACCAGGATATAGGAAGCACACTGCTTCCTTGAAGACAGGGCTCATGCTAGATTGAAAGCATCCAGGCCACTGGAAATCCCTGCTCCTCAACTGTCTTTGGTGTCAGGCCTGGTTTTAAAAACAGATTTACCTGTTCTGGGAGTGCTTGTGTAGCTCTGCCCTAAAACACTCGTTTCCTTGCCCTAGCCCACTGCTAATTCATCAGGGTGGACAAAAGGAGATGACCACAATTCTCTAATAAACCCTGTTCAAAAAGAATAGGTACCACTGTCGTGGATGTGCATTTAGATAAGAGGTCTTTAGGGACATCTAGTTTCTAAAGAATCACCATATATAGCAGAGTTTAATAAAGAGGTATGTTTAGGCAAACAGCACTGTCATATTAAACAATGAAATAACAGGCAATGCTAACATTCAAAACAGACGATGTTTCAAAAGTTCATTTGTTAGGCAGTTGTTTGAAACTCTGGGTGAGCTGGTTAGGTTCCAGATCAGCATACAAAAGTCAATTTGGCCCAGCATTATACACAAGGAACTATTAATATTCCAAGTATAATACTCTGAATAGTTCCATTTTTGTTAGATTTTGAGATATCAGAAATTTGTCAAGGACTTTCAACTTCCAACTTCTAAGCCCATTTATAACCACTATCTCCCATAGGAAAATGTATTCAGGTCACCACAAACAAGCCAGATATGACTTTCTCTATGAGGTTAGAGCAGAGTTGTTACTTTTAATTGACTTTCCATCTCAGCATTTGGAAAAGGGATTCCGCAGTCCATTTATGCTCCAAGTAAACAGGGAATAAAGGGGAAGCAGGTGTCATGCTTGGAAAGATCCAGATTCCCTGGAGATCTCCTAGTGTAAGGGTCCTCAACCCCTGGGCTGTGGGCCAGTATGGGTCTGTGGCCTGTTAGGAACCAAGCCGCACAACAGGAGGTGATCAGCAGATGAGTGAGCATTACACCTAAGCTCTGCCTCCCATCAGATCAGGGGCAGCATTAGATTCTCATAGGAGTTCGAACCCTATTGTGAGCTGCACATGCGAGGGATCTGTGTGCATGCTCCTTTGATCTGAGGTGGAAGAGTTTCCTCCCAAAACCATCCCCCTTTTCTCCACACCCCGCTCCCCTGCCGTCTGTGGTGCCAAAAGGGTTGGGGACCGCTGTCCTACCACAGCTAGCTCAAGGGTCAGCAAACTATAGCCTGTAGGCCAAATGCTGCCTGCCTTTTTCTGTAAATTAAGTTTTACTGGAACCCAGCCACACTCATTTGTGGACATATCCCACTGGCTGCTTTAGTGCTGCAATGGCAGAGCTGAACTGCTGCAAAAGAGATCACATAGCTCACAAAGCCTAAAGTATTTCCTATCCGGTCCTTTACAGGATAAGTTTGCTGACTCTGACTCCAGACCTAGGTCATTCCTTAGAGCCTAAATCCAGACATCTATGTTTCTAAGAAAGAGAAACAAAGAGCAATTCCACTAGATCTTGATTATCAGCTGGGCGTGGTGACTCACATCTGTAATCCCAGCACTCTGGGAGGCTGAGGTAGGAGGATCACTTGAGCCCAAGAGTTTGAGACCAGCCTGGGCAACATAGCAAGATCCTATCTACAAAAAAAAAAAAAAAAAACCACAACACAACAACAACAACAAAAAAAACAATTAGCTGAGTCCCATTACTTCTGGAGGCTGAAGTGGGAGAATACCCTCTCATATTAGAATTTAAATCCTACTTGCAGAAGAACCTCTCCTCTATATAATCCTGAAAGCTATGTAATAGATTCTTAGGGGCATTTTAGAAGCAAAAAAGCAAAAACTTCAAGTTTGCAAATCTGAGAACATTTGTTTCTTAAAATTTTCTCATTGACATGATTGTGATGTCCATTATATAAATCCACATTCTAGGAGAAACAGTTAAAAAAAAGTCCTATAGCTATTATGGCTACATCTTTAGAACAGCAATGAGAACTCTTAGTCATGATTACCAATTTCTCCTGGAGAATTAGGAGAAGCACTTGCACCTGATAAAGACACTCTAGGAAAACAATGCCCAACAAATGACTTGTAAAGAAAGCTCTATGTGCTAAAAAGAATTCACTTGAGTTGCAATGATTTTAACTTAAGTCTACTTAAAGTACTATATTTAAGCTTACCTTTTTCATATATTCAGTAACTGGGTTCTGCTGCAAGAATTCAGTACTCTCTCTGGTATAAAATCTCTCTGTGTCAGCCAAAAATTGAGATTCAAAGGATTCTTTATACACTGTTAACGTAGGGCCCTTTGCAAATGCATCATCTTCATTCAGCCCCAATTCCACTAGAAACGAATATGAGCTATATTTCAATTACCCTATTTTTTTGGTTATATTTCACAGAATATACTTAGGTGTAGCATTCAGTTTAAGATATGTTTAAAAGGTAAATGTGAAATGGCAGGACATAAGTAACTCTTACTCACTAGTATTAAAATACACTATTTTAATAAAATAAAAAAGGAAAAAAATCCAAGATGTATAAAAAGCAAGTAATTCTGACCCATGGCCAGGTATGCTTCAAAATCATGATGAAGTTCCTTTAGAGAACTTTTATACTTCCAAAAGCAATAAAAATAATTTTAAATTTGCAAAGAAATACAATGCTACCCAAGTTTTTAAGACATTGTATTACTTCATCAGTTTCTCAATCTCAATTTTTCAAGCTGATATAGATTTCTGGTTATCATTGAGCTCAATTATTGACACTCTAACATATCCAGTGAATTCACTGAGACCAGAAAAGAAAATAATTAAAATGTCTATTTCATCAAAATTTCCTTAAGGCACACGGATCAAACAGCTTTTATGAGTAAAATCAAACAAAGTCACATTGACTTAAAAAGAAATATAAGTACCTTTGTAAATGCTAACAATGTCCTTTATAATATTAAACCATTTTAAAAATGAAATCTGTTAGAGCACTGTTGTAATTGCCATTTGGTGTGAAAACTTTGAATAAACTAAAGGGAAATTATTTACCGTAAGACTGTACAACTCCACTAATCAATCTTGTATTGATGGTTTCACCATTTCTTTCCTTTTCAATCAGCTTTAAAACAGCATTTGTTACCTTTAGAAAGGATGTAGAAAATAAGATACAGGTTACAGAATATGATACATATTACTACATATCCCTTAAACATTCACAACCATTAACAATGTAAGATGGGAAAATCCAAAAGAGTGAAGAGACAAAGACCAAGCAATGAATCTGCGAAGGGATTTTAAAAGGAACACGCACACGCTCATACCAGTAGGTACCTGTTTATTCAGTGGCCTGAAGAGACAGTCTCTCCAAGTCACCAATGCAAGCTGGAGAAAAAAAAGAACAAAATGTTTATACTTTTACTGTGGTTTTCCAAGATTCAAGTCATAGGAAATAACCTAAATTTCAAATTATTTTATCAAAATCTCTAGATTACAAGTTGGTCAAAACATGCTATCACGATGAAATCAGAAAGCCGCCACTATAGAGTGTCAACGACTTCAAGTAGTATCCAAGTACAGACACCTGTCATCTCAACTTCTTTATTTATATTCGCTTTAACTGTTGTTGAAAACAGTACGGAATAAGTTTGAAAAACGTAATGATTTTTAGGGGTCTGTGATGTTACTGTACACATGGCACTTCAGGTCTAGCAGGTTTCCAAAAGGAAACGAACTAAGATCATCCTGATTCCTACACTAACAACTCAGTCTCAAGAAAGCATTTATATGTAAAAAGAAAAAGTCCCATGAGCCATCCCACAATATACATATATTTTAAAAACGTATGCTGTACATATTTTTGTCAGTTAAAAAAAGTGAAATATTAAAGAAAAGGGGAAGTACAAAAACCCCAAATCAAACAAGTAAACCTAGAAAGTTTCTGTTAGAACTAGATTAACTACATAACAAAGTATCATTATAAAGCAGCCACAATCTTGGTATGGTATAGAAACTGGAGCTACACAAACAATAAAAACTGGTCGTGCATCTGGGATACATTATGCTTTTCTTTTTTCCTTGAGACAGGATCTCACTCTGTCAGTCAAGGTAGAGTCCAGTGGTATGATCGTGGCTCACTGCACCCTCCACCTCCTGGGCTCAAGCGATCCTCCCACCGCAGCCTCCTGTGTGGCTGGGACTATAGGTGAGTCACCATGCCTGGATATTTTCTTTGCAGAGGTCTCATTTTGTTGTCCAGGCTGGTCTCCTCCTGCCTTGGTCTCCCAAAGTGCTAGGATTACAAGCATGAGCCACTGCACACAGCATTATGTTTTTCTTTTAAATTTGTCAAAAGTGAAGCTACAAAGTATTGCTATTTTATAGCAACATTCTTGGATATGGTGATTAACTCCTTTATGCAGAATCTGACATTTTAACAAAACTAGTTTTAAAGGGCATTGCCTGAGTTGAGCTGACAGCCTATGAACAGACTGTTATGAGTCCTCCCTTACTTGCTCTAGAACACTGGTTCTCAAACTGCAGCATACATCAGAATTGTCTGGAGAGCCTGGTAAAACATTGCTGGGCCCCATCTCCAGAGTTTCTCTTCAAGTCTAGGATGAGGCCTGAGATTCTGCATTTCTAACAAGTCCCCAAGTGATTCTGACACAGCAGGTTTGGGGACCTGATGTGGTTTGGCTGTGTCCCCACCCAAATTTCATCTTGAACTATAGGTCCCATAATTCCCACATGGCGTGAGAGAGAACCAGTGGGAGACAACTGAATCATGGGGGTGGTTGCCCCATACTGTTCTCATGGCAATGAGTAAGTCTCATGAGATCTGATGACTTTACAAGGGGTGTCCGCTTCCACCTGACTCTCATTCTGCCTTGGCTGCTGCCATCTATGATGTGCCTTCTTCCATGATTGTGAGGCCTTCCCAGCCACATGGAACTGTTGAGCCCATTAAACTGCTTTTTCTTTATAAATTACCCAGTCTCAAATATGTCTTTATCAGCAGTATGAAAACAGACCAATACAGGAACATATTTTGAAAACCAATGGGAAAACAAAAACAAAAACAAAAACCCTTCAGTTGACTGACTGAAGAAACATATAGTAATGAGGGTGATTTGGGAATTAATTAATTCAGGGTCCTCTCCCTGAAGTGGGGTTTCTCAGACTATAAAGCACACGAGCATTGATCCTTAGGGCTTGCCTCACGCTCGGCACCTGACCTGCCTGGGGCTGCCAGGACTCGGGGCTTTCTGTGCGAAAACTCAGGCAGTCCCAGGCGAACTGGGGTGATAGGGTCAAATAACTAAAGAAGAAAAATTTAAAAAGCAAATGCAGAAATGGGCAAACTACATTTTATAACTCCAATTTACCCATTCTTCTTCTTTCTTGCTAAGAAATATTTAAGGGACATTTATTGATAAAACAATGAAAATTAGTTTACTATTTAAAAAAAAGCTTAATATTTGCCTAGATTCTTACTGAAAGATAATTTATCATTTAAAAAATACATTTAAAAGGTTTTAAAATAAAAATCTTACTGAATAGATTTCATATATTCCTTTTCGTCCTTCGTCACATTCACGGCGAACCCAATGTCTATTGAGGTAGGCACAAATTCCATTCAGCACTTTGCTTGAAAATCGATAATCTTCCCATTGTTGGGTGTAGAATTTCAGTACACTCTCATCCATCAAATCTTCTCCATCCTAAAAACAAGGTAACTAAAGCTTTAAGATGACTAATTTGTCACATCATAAATTAAAAATAAAAGTTAATAACATCTACTGCATTAAAATACATTGATACATGTGATTTTAGACAGCTTCTTTAAATTATTCTGTATATAAAATATGCTAATAAACTCTCTCAAGAATATAGTAAAAGAATTCTTTCATCTCAAATTAAACTGGAACATTTTTCATGGTATTAAATATGCACACACACTCAAATAAAAGTACCCTGAACAATTAGGATATACAGGTAATTCCTTTTTATTAAGAAATTTACCTCAAAATCATCTGTATTTTTGATATTTTGTTTAAAAAAAATTGGTTGGGTGCTGTGACTCAAACTTATAATCTCAGCACTTTGGGAAGCGGAGGTGGGCAGATCTCTTGAGGTCAGGAGTTTGAGACTAGCCTGGCCAACATGGTGAAACCACATCTCTGCTAATACAAAAATTAGCCGGGTGTGGTGGTGCATGCCTGTAGTCCCAGCTACTCAGGAGACTGAGGCAGGACAATCGCTTGAGCCCAGGAGACAGAGGTTGCAGTGAGGCAAGATTGCACCACTGCACTCTAGCCTGGGCAACAGAGTCAGACTCCGCCTCAAAAAAAAAAAAAAAAAAAAAAAAATCAAATCAACATGTCCTAATTAGCAATTTCGACCACAAGGCTAATACTATTCAATTTTTAAATGCATCTTCTTCCTTCTTTAAATTTACTTAAAAATAATGAAAACACTTTTTTGTGGTAATCTGTAAAAAATAAGGTACAATGGTATAACAATATTTCTTAACAAGACCTCATAAAGAAAATGTTCATTTACCAAAATTTTTATCCAGATTTCCACAACTTAAGCCACAAATTTTTATCTGAAGGAGACTAACTTGAAATTTTTTCTTAGGAATTAATGGCATCTACCAAGTAAGCCTTACCCTTTAAAAACATTAATGGCACTGCCGTTTAGCTGTGTGCAGCAGAGAAGCACAAAGAGAAAGGTGGGGGCTCCTCCCTGCAGGAAGGGCTAGGCTGAGCCCACTGGGTTCTCTGAGCCTCAGTGTCTTCAATGAAAACTAAATGGCTACGACAGACTTGAAGCTCCACACACTTAAGGTACACGAGTGACAGAACAATCCATGGAAAAACTGGATCATCTCTTGATATAACCAACTTTTTGTTCATTTACATTTAAATAATATGAAATGAACTTTAAAATGTAAAGCTAAGCTATTCTGGATGATGGTACTTGACCTTTTTAAAATGCAAAAGTATCACTGATGGCATGGCCATCAACATTTTTATATAGCACAATACACTGTTTCTTACTTTAGTACTAAAGAATTATTAATTACAACATTCACTTTACAATGTGTTGTGAATAAAAAGAACAGTGGCTTCAGTCAGACCTTAAACACACCATTTGGGGAAGATGAAAATAATACACTAGATGCAACTTGTGGCCAATCAACTATGTATAGTCATTAGCATGATGTTTAAGTTTTCAATTAGCGTGTAAAAATAAATTAGGTAAAACACTTTTGCACGACGAGGACATTTCTGAAACACTGTATAAATCAAAAATGTTTAAAATATATACACAGAAGGTTCCTGCAAATTTCCCTGGGTTGAGAATACAGCTGTCTTCCCTCAATGACAGTATAGAACCAGAAGAAGGAGCCAGTTGCTCATCCTGTGGCTGGATACAAGGAGTCACACTGCCTTCGCTACAAAGGATGAAGATCAAGGAAGAAAAAGGCAGGAGATGAGGGGAAAAGCCTCCACCACTGCCCAAGCAAAGGCTTGGAGTGGGAGAGACCTATGCTAGAAGGAAATGGATATTCACAGAGAAACTCATCCTAGCCACGAGCACAATTTCACAGCAGTTTTGAAATACACATCATGGCCAGGCACAGTGGCTCACACCTGTAATCCCAACACTTGGGAGGCTGAGGCAGAAGGACTGCTTGAGCCCAGGAGTTGGGAGACCACCCTGGGCAACACAGAGAGACCCTGCTTCTACAAATGATTTAAAAATTAGCTGGGAGCTGGGTATGGTGGTGTACACCAGTAGTCCTAGCTACTCAGAAGGTTAAGGCGGGAGGATTGTTTGAGCCCAGGAGTGAGAGGCTGCAATGACCTATGATTGCACCACTGCACTCCAGCCTAGGCGACAGAACAAGACCCTGTCTTAAAACAAAAAAAAAAAGGTACTTCACAACCATGTGTAAAAAGCAAGATCACATTTGAAAACCATGATTTCCACGGAATAACCTTACAGTTGTTGATAACGCTTTGATAGGGAACACCACACACTGGGTTCACAATAAAATGCAGGTAATTTGAATACATATTTGCTTTAAATGAAAAAGTTCAACATTTCTAACAACCAAATCTAACATGGTGGTAATTTAAGGAAAGTACTATTATGCTAAAAGGTTATCAAAGCTTTCTAATTAAAAAAAAAAAACCAAAATGAGCTGGGCACGGTGGTGAGCATTTGCAGAGTCCCAGCTACTCAGGAGGCGGAAGAGGAAGGATCACTTGAGCCCAGGAGATCAAATTGAGCCTGGGCAACATAGTGAGACCTCTGCCTCGAAAGAACAAAACCCCCAGAATATAGTTTATGATGGTTTCATATTCACAGCAGGTAAAAGACTATGCAAAACATTGTCACCCACGTTAGTGTCTAAAACAATGAACAGATGACAGTGAAAATTTAACAAGTAAGTTAGAACCATTATTTCACTCCCTTTTTACATCCTGTTGTAAATACTCAGTACATATGTAAAACATCTTACCTTAAGAAGATTTGTCAAGTAATTCTTCAAAAATTCCTTAAGTCGTTTGTATAATTCCAGGCCAACAAACTGAGCTCCTCCAGGCGTCTGCCCCTTTTTTGACTTAGAAGGAGGAACTCCAGCTCCTCGTGCTTGGTTTGACTGGTGAACACTAGTACAGTAGTTATACACATGACTTGGAGGAAAGTTAAGGAAACCAACATATATCATAGACACTAAAAGTCATTAACACAAACATATTTTCTGACATTTCATTACCAATACGTTCCCAATACATCAACCAAAACCTGTTAAAAACTCGAGCGGGACGAAGATCCCATTCACATTATCCACAAAGCTAAAAGTTGACAAGCCCCATTCACAAGACTGCCTAGAGAGCAACACCGCCAAGGAGAACGGAACATTCCAGGAGGGAAGTTACCCATAAACAAATCGAGACCTTTTGGGTTTTCTAATGTGACTGACCTTGTGGAAAACTGTCCCGGAAGAAAAATGCAATTACCGACTCCAGGAGAAACCAAAAGCTAACAATAAGCACTGTCTATGATGATGCTCAGCTGTAACTTTTTCAGAAGCACACATTCTAAACACTGAAATCACACACACTTTATTTTAAAATGACTTAAAGAGCCAAGTCCTTATATTACAATAGTCATAGACATCTAAAACTTATCAGTCAACGGCAGCAGTATCCGCACACTACTGAGAAATACAGAGATGTGTAAATCACAGCAGACAGCTGAGTGCACAACAGCCGCATCTGCAGGGAAAGTGCAGAGGACGAGATGGGGAAGGGCAGGGCAGAGAACCACCAGCTTCTGTTTTACCCTTATAAATATGATGAGCTTATCTGCAGGTATTATTATTTGACTAAAATGAACAGAAAGACACTTATACTCACAAAGATCAACAAAACAATGTTCTGGCGTAATGAAGAATTTACTATACAAAGATACTTCGAGACAATGGGTAAAAGATTATTTAATAAATGGCATGAGGGCAAGATATTTCTAAATATTCCATATTAAATTCCAAAATATATTGTAAATGGATTAAGATTTAAAATATACAAGCTGAAACAGCAAAACCAGAATCTATATTTGAACACTTACCTGTTCTCAGGTTGGAGTGGCCCTTTTTAAGTAAGGCCATACGAACAAATGAATTCAAAATTGTAGATTAAGAAGAAATATCCTTATCTTTAATAAATTAAAGTGATTTGAAGCAATATGAAAAAATGAATCTCTGGAAACATGAACAAAACATACAACAGAAAATCTGAAAGGTAAAATAAATGACCCAGTTTTGCATTCCCACACTTCTCATATTCCACCTACAGCCCCCCCAACTTTGGAGAAAATATTACAGGCTGTAAGTGAAGCATTGTGGTCTTCTCTGGAATCACACTCCTTCCTCTTACCCTAGCAATACCACCATGATTTGGTACACATCATTCCTATGAATGTTTTTATATTTTACTGGATAAATATGTATCAAATACATTTCACATGTTCTACATTGTTAAATTACACAAACTAACATGTACATTTGCGCTACCATTTGTTTTTGATGATGTTTGACATAGCTACAGCTGTAATATACTGTGTAGCACACATTTAGAGTACTTTAGCAACTCTCTTGGGGGTGGACCTTGCTAATGATTCTTTTAGCAGGTGCCATTTTTTTTTTTTGTATTTACAAACAAAGCTGCAAAGAATAAAACTAGCAGTTCTCCTTGCACACATGTACAAGTTTCCTGGAGCACAGAAATACTGGGTGACAAGAGAGTAAGACTTTTTTTTTGGAGACAGTCTTACTCTGTCGCCCAGGCTGGAGTACAGTGGTGTCATCTTGGCTCATTGCAACCTCTGCCTCCTGGGTTCAAATGATTCTCCTGCCTCAGCCTTCAGAGTAGCTGGGATTGCAGGTGCCTGCCACCATGCCTGGCTAATTTTTGTATTTTCAGTAGAGACAATACTGAAATTCAGGGTTTCACCACGTTGGTCAGGCTGATCTTGAACTCCATCTCAGGTAATCCGCCTGCCTCAACCTTCCAAAGTTGCTAGGATTACAGATATGAGCCACTGTGCCAGGCCCTTTAAAAAATTTTTTTTGCAGAGATGGGGTCTTGCTATATTACACAGGCTGGTCCCAAACTCCTGGGCTCAAGCAATCCTCCCGCACTGGCCTTCCAAAGTCATGGTTTCAACTTATTACCAGTTGCCATCTTAGTGCTACAAAGTGTCTGTCCAGCACCCTGTAGTGCATGAATTTTCACTGCCCACAACTTGGCCATGCATGTGTACTGTGGTTTACCATGGTTTTAATATCCCTTTCTACAGAACAGGCAGTTTTGTTTTTTTAAGTAAAGAGATAGGATCTCACGATGTTGCCCAGGCTGGAGTGCAGTGGCTGTTCACAGACATGATCATAGTACAATACTGCCACAAACTCTTGGTCTGTAGGGCTCCTCCTACCTTAGGCTCCTGGAAAGCTGAGAATACAGGCACATGCCATCACACTGGCTGGACTCAGTATAATTCTTAAGGGCCTTAGGATTTCAGAAGGGTAAGTGAGCACTGGCTTCAACAAAGTCACCAGCTACATCCATCCCTAAAAGAGTCAGCCTGTCCTTTGAAGCTTTGACACCAGGCATCAACTTCTCCTCTCTAGCTATGAAAGTCCTAGGTGTCAGCCTTCCAGGAGAAGGCTGTTTTGACTCAACTGAGTATCTGTTGTTTATGCAGCCACCTTCATCAATGATCCTAGCTAGATTTTCTGGCTAACTTGCGGCAGCTTCTCCATCAGGACTTGCTGTTCACCTTGCACTACTGTTATAAAAGATGGCTTCTTTCCTTTACTCGCATGAACCAACCTCTGCTAGCTTCCAGCTTTTCTTCTGTAGCTTCCTCACTTCTCTCAGCCCTCACAGAATTGCAGAGTTAGGGCCTTGCTCTGGATTAGGCACTGGCTTAAGGGAATGCTGTGGCTGGTTCGTCTTCTACCCAGACCACTCAAACTTTCTACTTACCAGCTATATGGCTGTTTCGCTTTCTTATCATTTATGCATTTTACCAGAGCAGTGCTTTTAATTTCCTTCAAGAACGTTTCCTTTGCATTTACAACTTGGCTGTTTAGCACAAGAGGCCTAGCTTTTGGCCTAGCTCAGCTTTCAATATGCCTTCCTCATTCAGCTTAATCGTTGCTAGCTTTTGATTTAAAGTGAGAGACATGCGACTCTTCCTTTTACTTGAACACTTCGAAGCCATTGTGGGGTTCAATTCAGTATTGGTGTGTCTCAGGGAGTGGGGAGGCCAAAGAGAGACGGGGTAAAGGCCAGTCGGTGGAGCAGACACATGCATTAACCGATTAAATTTGCTGTTTTAAGTGCGTGCAGTGTGTGGCGCCTCAAAACCATTTTTTTTACCATTAATTTTGCCAGAGGCTGTCTCTTAGTTTCTTAAAGAACTACTTTGGGTTTTAATAATTTTCATTACTGTATCTTTACTTCATTTGTTCCTTTTCATTTACTTTTTTCCTTACATATGCTTTCTCTGGATAAATCCTTGTTTTGGTTAACTTTGTAGTTTTTTTTTTAAATAAGCATTTGAATACTCCTAAAATGTCCATACTACATAGAAGGTATATGATATACTGTTTCTTCTACATGCCACTTTGGCTGCATCACATCAATCTGATGTGTTTATATTTTCCTTCTCGTTCAGTTTTATCTTCTCTTTTCCACTGTTCGTTCTAAAAGTTAAACAGTTCAGATTTCCAAAATGTATTTTTCGACCTTCAAAAATTTCATTTCAAAATTAAATTGCAGAAACATGAGAATGTTATCTTTTTGACTGTTGCTTTAAAATGTGATGAGACTCGTTGCTGAGTATGTAATTTCTCCTGGGCCAGAACAGGGTGGGCCATCATTTCGCATGTGCCTAAGAAGAATGCCCATCTCTCACTGTTGGATACAGGGACCCGTTACTGCTGGCCAGCTCTATTTTTCAGATCTTCAATATTGTTTCTGATTTGTCTGCTCATTAATTACCAAGCAATTTTTAGTGAAATCTCCCAATAATGGTTTTACCAATTTCTAATTGTCTAAAATACTTGTCATATTTTGAGGCAGTGTTAACTAATACACATATCTGAAATTATATTCCTGGTAACTTGTACCTTTTATCATTAGGAAGTAACCATGTTTATTCCTAACAATATTGCCTTAGAAACTTATTATATCTGATCTGATTACACCTACCATTTGGTGAGAATTTTCCTTAAATGTTTTTGTTCCAGTCCTTTATTTTCAACCTTTGTTTCTGTGTCTTGGTGTGTCTACTGTCAACCACCACAGCATACTTCATTTTTTTTGTTTAAGTGTTCCTATTTCTCCACATCCTCTCCAGCATCTGTTGTCTCCAGATTTTTTAATGATTGCCATTCTAACTGGCGTGAGATGGTATCTCAATGTAGTTTTGATTTGCATTTCTCTGACCAGTGATGAGCATTTTTTTCATGTTTCTTGGCCTCATGTATGTCTTCTTTTGTAAAGTGTCTGTTCATATCCTTCGCCCACTTTTGAATGGGCTTGTTTTTTTCTTGTGAATCTGTTTTAGTTCTTTGTAGAATCTGGCTATCAGCCCTTTGTCAGATGGGTAAACTGCAAAATTTTTTTCCCATTCTGTTGGTTGCTGATTCACTCTAATGACTGTTTCTTTTGCTGTGCAGAAGCTGTGGAGTTAGATTAGGTCCCATTTGTCTATTTTGGCTTTTGTTGCCAATGCTTTTGGTGTTTTGGTCATGAAGTCCTTGCCTACTCCTATGTCCTGAATGGTTTTGCCTAGATTTTCTTCTAGGGTTTTTATCGTGCCAGGTCTTATGTTTAAGTCTTTAATCCATCTGGAGTTAATTTTAGTGTAAGGTGTCAGGAAGGGATCCAGTTTCTGCTTTCTGCACATGGCTAGCCAGTTTTCCCAACACCATTTATTAAACAGGGAATCCTTTCCCCATTGCTTGTTTTTGTCAGGTTTGTCAAAGATCGGGTTTGTAGATATGTTGTGTTGCCTCTGAGGCCTCTGTTCTGTTCCATTGGTCTACATCTTTTTATTCACTTAAAAAAAAAAACGGAGTCTAATATTATTTGATAGGCAAGTTTGGTTTTAGGTAAACTGT